TTCTCAGAACATTCTATGAATATATAGGACATCCTCAGAATGATCTAGGTATATTCTCAGTAAGTGCATGGAAAATATTTCGGAGATCGATATAGGAGGAAAATATGTTCATAACTTTTAGTGTATGTTCCAAAAGTGACCATCAGGGTGATATTTATTTCACTCACTCACATCACCAAAAAACTGTTACAGTTAACACAACTACATTTAAACAGATATCATACACGGATCATGGATGCTGCACGAATATCACGATGTGTGCAGATGAATATGATGAATATGACAAAAAGGATTTTGAATAATCAATAGAACATCGATTTTTTCTGAAAACCTTGACTCCCTGTATCTCAGAAACGAAGATTTACAAAATGAATCTTATTTCATTCAACACTCAACTAGTATCTAATCGATTTCTTCCCAAAAACTGATAAATGCAAAGACTGTATCATGCAAGTTCAGTTTTAATTTTGACAAGGAGATTTATACATATATATATATAAAACCCCGTAAGCCGCTGTGATTTTGTCATTGTGACAGCGAAAAAAGTTTGCAGCGACAAAATCGATACTCAACATTTGAAAGCCTGTCGAATTTCCTATCGATTAAGAATATTGTATACTGGGTGTACCATTTGGAAAAAAAAACTTTTTGACGTAACTCTTTGAGGCGATCTTTTGATTCGTTTCCATCGTCGTAATCAGCGGAAAAAATACTATTAGTATAATAGTGCCGACTTAAGTTTGAAAACCCTGTATATTTGCGATTATTAACAAGTTTATATATACAAGACTTTATCTGATTCTTATGAATGTTATTTTACAATGAGCATGAGTGAAATCATTGGAATTCTCCACACGTACTGATTTTCATCCAATATTCCCACACAATTTTACCACCAAACAGTTTCCGAAAAATTTGCAAAAGCCATCAGTGCCAGTGTTTCCAGCGAGAAGCGAATTTTATACCAGTTTTTCATTTCAATTAATTACTAACAACCCCATTCCCCTGGCATTCTCTATCAAAAATGCATCGGCTATATCGAACACTCCTCAATAATTCAGACTCCCCGCTATAGCAGCAGCGACTGAATCAGGAAGTTTGTTCCAGATTAACTTTCATAAAATCCATTTTTTCAGTATGTAACAAGAGTGCTTTGGACCTCCTCAAGATATAAGAAATTATAATCACTTGGAGATTTGCATTCAAAATGAAAGAACTTTCCTTACAGAACTAGTTTTCAAATAACACACGGAAAAATAGAGACAGTACGAATAAAGTAGATTATGCTAAGGTGCTTTCTTCGTCTTTCATTGTACTCCGAATGAGATTAACAGTAATCAGTGTAGTTGAACGAATTTCTGAAGGAAATATTCAACTTACCTATTATGTATCCAAATTAAGGAGAAATTCAAGAACTTTCCCGAGATGAAGTCCCAATGTATCGTAATGTGACCGAGTTTCATTCTGTTGATTTTCTCCCATCATTATTGTAGCTGTCTCTTTATATGTTGACCCCCTACCTGCATCTTCAACTATACGAGGTGGAAAATGAAAATCACAAAAAAAAGAGGAGAGTCCAAGTCCGTTTTTTAATGGAACCCTGTATATGTGCAAGTTTTGTGAAAGATCTTTTCCTTCTGTTCACATTGTTGCTAACGTTTCCTCAAGCTCCTCCGCTTTCGACCAAATTCTTGCTGTACTACTGATATTTTTGCAATATTTTCATAATAATATTTCGTATTTTTCCTCTACGGAATAATCCTTTCCAATTGAAAAATGACAGAGATGTTAAAAATGTCTGTTTTAATTCATGGCATTTCTTTTGTGTCCACAGCCATCTATATCTTGGTAGATTTCCAGTAACCATACCTTTGAAGACATCCAATTCGATGCTTGGTATTACTATCAGCAATAACCTTTCGTGGGAAAATCACGTGAGATCAATTGCTAAAAGTGCATCCCAAAAACTTGGTTTTCTGTTTCTGGCCAGGAGCTATCCCAGGTAGAACATCATATTGGCTAGAACTTGGTTTCATATTAGCCCAATATTCGAATATTGAATATGGAATTACCAGATCGCACCAATATCAAACCAATTTTTCATTTCAATATTCGATCATCAATCCATTGCCAATATTTTAATAACATTGAAATTTTGTGACCAGCCGATATCAATTTGTCAATATTTATTTGATATTGGAGGAATATTAACGATCACAATATGTCAATTTTCATGATGGGCTGATATTGCATTTCCAATATCAAATAGATCTTGGAAAAAAATATTGACTCAATATCCAATTTATGATGGTTAGTGAATATTGCATTTCATTGTCCAGCAATGTTGTAATAACATTGAAATTTTGTTTCCAGCCGATATTTATTTACCAATATCTATTCGATATTGGTGAAATATTGACGATCACAATGTCAATTTCCATGATTGGGCTAATATTGTATTTCCAATATTGAATCAATCATGGAAAAAAATATTGCATCAATATCAGATTTATGATGGTTGGTGAATATTGCTCTTCGTTGTCCAGCAATATTGCACTGATATTGGTGATTCAATATCATTTCGATATTCAATAATCAATCCAGTGCCAATGTTGTAATAACATTGAAATTTTGTGACCAGCCGATATCAGTTTGCCAATATTTATTTGATATTGGCGAAATATTAACGAATACAATATGTCAATTTTCATGATGGGCTGATATTGTATTGCCAATATCGAATCAATCTTGGAAAACATATTGTATCAATATTTTGTATTTTTATTCAGCCAATATTAGTTCATCAATATGCGACCCATTTCAGATAGATATAACTAATGAAATATGCCAGAACCAATATTGCACTGACATTGGATTTCTAATATCGAATCGATATTCGTGATATTTCTCTTAGTATTTGAGCTACGTTATAACAGCTGGCGCCACTAGCACGCCTCCAACAAACGACTGCTGAGAGACATCAAATACCGCATTCGTTCAACTTGCAAACTAAGTATTCTGGGATACAGGAAACGAAAATGGATTTGATATTGTACAAATATCGCAATTTTTTAATGAGGCTAATATGGCTTCGAATTTTGATTTCGAGTTTTGTGTGGTTTTGTTGAAAAACGAAATTCAATATTGGTTGAATATTATAATTCAACATGAAGATTATATTGCAAAATAATCACATCCTCATTTTAGCCAATATAGTAGGGGAATATGAATTCAATATCAATTTCACATATGAAAATTATAAGAAACCAGTTTTCTATAAGTTGGCATCATATATTTGTCCAATCTTGTATACGAATATTAACTTGATATTGGATAGAGCATATCGAAACAAGATTGAAATTCAACATAGAACCAAGATTCCAAAATGTTCACATTGATTTATTGACCCAATAATTAAAATTAATATTTCCCCAACATTCACATTTATTGACTCAATATTGAACCAATATTAGTGTTCTACCTGGGATTTCACTTCCAGTAAGCTGCTTATATGATGTATAAGGCACAGATCCGACCTGTCTTGGAATACTGTAACCATATTTCGAGTGCAGCACCCAAACATACCCTAAAACTGTTGAATTCTGTCCAAAAAAGGGCAATTCGTCTCGTGGGTGATACCTCGCTCACAAACTCACTCACTTCTCTGGAACACCGTAGAAAAGTTGACGATCTAGCTCTATTTTATAGATATTTTCTTGGACGATGCTCTTCTGAAATATCAACAATTGTTCCTCCCTTGAAAAAAACTGGAAGTTTCCAGTCTGGCCTCTGAAAAGTTATCATCAAATTGGTACGGCAACATGGTTATTCGAAATACTGGTTGGTCACTGCATGATGATGATCAAAAACATATGAAAACTTGACTTACAGTCACAGAACATGGCATGCCAAAAATTATGAAAATCGATCTCAGCCTACTCTTTTTATGAGGAAAATTATTTTTTTCCAAAAAAACTTCAACGCCTTGTACCAACTAAAGTAAAGTACCCTTATTTCAGAAAATTCAGCAAAATGTTATTGAAAAAAGTTCACAAGTAAAAGTTATGCCTATATACCCAAACATGGCATCCTAAGACATTTTTTAGTTTTCAATTTCTTTCGTTAGTTATTTCCCAATTTGTTATTTTTTTTATATTCGTCATAAACACTTTCATAAGTTATTAATCATAACAAAATCAGTTGATTATATTACCTCTGTTCAAATGCAAGCATATTTTTGCAATTAACTTGGATTTTATTTTTTTTAGGGAATCACAAACTTTATGTTTGTTGCAATGATATTCAGCATAACTTTGAAATTTCGCAAACCATATTTTTAACAAGGTGAAACATCAATAATGATAATATGCATAATCAAAAACTTTAATTCAATGTGAACATTTTGTATTTGAAATCTTTTAAAATAATCACGGATACCCAAGGAACAAAACAAATGAAAGTTGACAGTAAACATTGAGGCAGGTTGGTGGCATAAACTTCTTATCTCATGATGTTTTACCTTGTTAAAAATATGGTTTGCGAAATTTTGAATAAGCTGAATATCGTTGCAACAAACATAAAGTTTGTGAATCCCTAGAAAAAATAAAATCCAAGTTAATTGCACAAATATGCTTGAATTTGAACAAAGGTACGCTCAAGTAATTTTGTTATGATTAACTTATGAAGGTGTTTAGGGTGAATACAAAGAACAATTAGAAATTGGGAAGTTATTAACGAAAAAAAAAACAAATTATGTGTCAGGAGGCCATAGTTTTGTATTTAGACATAACTTTCAATTGTAAACAACTTTTCTTCATAACATTTTGCTGAATTTTCTGAAATAAGTGTACTTTACTCCTGAGCAAAAAAGTGAATAATGAAAAGTGACGAGACTAAATTTCAATATTTTTTCTCGTCCACAGAAAAAATGATATTTCTTCAAACTTATTATTTCCAGAAACATCAAAATCCCAAACGTTGAAAACTCTTTCATTACCCACCTGGTGAGGAGCAATCGAGAACAGCGAACTTTCCGCATGGCCGCGACACGAGCAGGTGTTTCTCGCGCTGCCGGCGACGAACGACTGCCGTCGCGAGCGTCGAGAGCGGGCGTCGCGACGGCCCATCGTTGTCTGCGACGCCGAAGGCGGTGCGTCAGCGTCAGCGCTCTCGCCTAGGGAGACACGGGAAAATCGGGGACGCCCTTCAAAAAAATTGATTCGAGTTGGGGCCTTCCTGTAACCACATGGCGATATACCTGCATCAGTATATTGCATCAGTACTTACAATTGAGGAGCAAAAATCCAAAAACACTGATAAATCCACTTTTACTGATTTCGAGATAATTGATAGAAACTTCCCTGTGTATTAGTTTATCGATATTTATGGTGAAATATCATTGTACGCCACTGTTTTCGCTGAGTTGCAAAAGTAGTTGGATTGAATTGAACAATTGAAATAGTAATAACTTTCTTATCCCCTGTGTTACATACATTTGTATCTCGCTTATTATATAATTAGTTGTTGAAAAAACAATAAAAATTCGATTTGACTCCAAATTTTGATGTGGTGCTCTAAAAGACTCCCATTGAGGTTACTAAATGACCTCAATGTCCATTAGGCAATCCAATGACCTGAAATAAGTGCACATATTCAGCAAATTAATATGATACAGCCTAATGATTCCCATATATGATATCAGATTTTTTTCTAATTCTTCTAATTTACGAGAAATCTCACCCCAAAAATTGGAGAAAATACGAGAAAAAAATCAAGTACGCCACTTTAAAACAATTTATAAATGATTGAACTCCGCGTGTCCGCGTGATTGTGCCTACCGCATGGAAATTTGATCAAAGGTGAGCTCAAATATGCTACAGTGTAAAACTTTGAGTGGAAAAAGGGGTCCAACCTCAAATTTTATTTTGATCCCAAATTTGTCTTCATTACTGCCATTCGATTTAGTACACGTCGAGCTTTTTCATTGTTTGAAATATTTGCACTTATTTCAATGCCACCCTGTATATATATACTCGTTGGCATACAATTAAATTATTTATGTGTGATGAATCGTTTTCATTCGCGAATTATTCCTGTTGGTATCAAAAGTAGATACAAGTCATACCTATACAGATTACAGGGCGTTTAAAAAAAAACCTAACACCCATTTCGATTCGAAAATAATGGAGTAGTAATAATGCTGGTATAAAATAAATTTTATTGAGTTCAATTACCTATTTATTCAGGTTCAAAAACAATGAAATTATTCTTGTGCTGGAATTATTGATGGAACAAAGAATCATAAGTAGAAAATTAAGAGATATATTTGACTAGAAACATGAAATATTGAATCAGTAGAGTAAGTGTTCAAAATGTCCTACGTTTCGAGGAATACACGATTCTATATTCTTTTTTTAAGAATGAATTATTCTTCTGAACAGTTGAGGATCAGCTGTTAGGTCATTTAAGTGATGTTCAATTATGTCTCACAACTCTTGACGTGAATTTACCTATGTAGCATAGACTTTCTGTCCAAGATACAACAAAACTGAGTCTATGTTCTTAGTCAAATCTGTTTCGATGTTAATCTTGTGATTCATTGTTAAATCAATGAGTTTTGCATCAGAAATGTATATTGTTGTTTTCGGTTTTCAATAAATAGGTGATAATTTTTCATAATACTCACTCTAATACATATTTTTATATACCAGCAACATTTACCACTTCATCATTTTCAAATCGAAATATTCCGAAAACGGAACACAGTATCGAGTTTTACCAAGAGTACCTTTTTGGTGTGGAATTGAATGATGTTCAAATTCACATCACATTTGGATTGAAAAAACTAACCTCAAAAAAGTTATGTTCAAAACTACTCGGTACGAACCGTGTAACTAGCGCCCTCTATGAGAGTCAGATATAAAAACAAATGCATGCGATGTGTCAGATTCCATGAAACATCCATACAAAATTTCATCACAATGTTGCCAGTAGCTTCAACATAATCGTAAAAAATGTGTAAAAAAATATTGTTTCAACACCAGTATCTTTACTGAGCAAACCCAACATATTTTGCAATGTTCTACCTACCCTAGCAAGGGGGTTAGGTTTTTTTGAAACACCCTCTGTATATATAATCAAAGAAAATCAAAAACACTAACTTTCAATTGTTCTTGTAACATCATTCTTTTGATTTTATATACATATATGGTGTCAACCAGACGCTATAATGATCCTAACCTGAGTTGGATTGCTCAATAAAAGAATTCTTGAGAATCTGTCATTCAAGCGGCGTTCACAACCAATCTTTTTACGTTTTGATTCTAGATTCTGATTCACTAATCAGAATACGAAACGTAAAAAGTTTGGTTCTCCAACCATAAACTGAATTTTGACACAATGAAAACTTATACAAGAAAACAAATAATACTTCCATCTCCAACATCTTATATCTGAGATCGGAATTTCTTAGGCAAAGGAAAGACGCAAAATGAACCTTGAGCTCATGTAGGTCTTGATGAGGCTGAAAACAAATATTTATCCCATTGAAATATATAGCTATCGTATCATGCACAGGGTTCACAGATCAGAGGAGACTATGGAAAATATTACTTGAATAATAATTAATTTGTGAGCTTACCTTAAATTTCTGATCGAGCGCATGTACTACTGGTAGGTTATCTGTCAATCTAAGTGATTTATGTTTAGTGAGTCAACTGTCACCAATCAGTTGTAGCGGGTGCAATTTGAAATATAACCGTATAATCCGATATTACCCCTGCGATCCAATATACCGCTGGTGACGGTACTGATTTTTACTTGAAGAAAAAAATTAATATCTAGATTATTTCAGTATTTCTTTCGGGTCGTTGACGTCTCTTGCATTCAAGAATCGATACAGAAAAAAATGAAAAATTTGAAGAAGATATTTCAAAAATTCAACAGAAAATCCGGGATCCAGGTAAATAAACCTCCAGCCAAACTTTTTATCCATTCTATTATACATCATCAACTATAGAAATAATAGTCATGCCTACCATCAAAATACAATAGCATCATATCACCATTTATACCTATAGAAAAACTCATATATTACATAAAAAAAATATTAAAAATGTCATCATAATCAATTCAATATTACTATCAATTCACGTTGAATTGCAAAATATCACAATTCCATAAAATCATCGAGAAACTGAAAAGAAAAACTGTTTTCTTTCTAGAATTTTCATTTTGTTTTCCTAATCTCTAGGTGGGTAATTCAATGGTGCTCCAGAAGACTGATACAGAGGCCTAGTTTGGCCTGTGTACAACGAAGTAGGTGGAGCAGGTTGGTACTGAGGCTGACTTCGTACAGGGTATCCAGCAGTTATACTACCACCTGAAAAAAATCGAATGGACTCTATTACTTTTCAACTGACTTTGAATGATTCTCCATTATCAATTTATTATCTGGAGAAATTGTTTTGATAGAGTCAAGAAGCTACAAATAGTACACCGGTAGCCTTGATTTTTTTTTTCATGTTCTGGTTCCCGAGAAAAGGGATCTCCTGTAATGGTCAGAGAACATCGTGAGAACCAAGAAAATAAGGTGGGAATTGCTGTTCTTCTTGAATTTCTGGAGGTTATATGCCTCGGGGAACACCTCCCTTGGCAATGTTTTCCAGAGCCTCGCTGTTCGTTGGGTGAACGAGTATTTGGGAAGAGATGTTCTGCAGGTCTCCAAAGTGACCACGAAGGGGTTCGAAGCCTCAACTCGACGGGTTAATCTCGCGGAGACTACCAAGGGAGGGACAATTGTTGATATTTCATGAGAGCATCGTCCATGAAAATATCTATAGAGAGCCAGATCGCCAACTTTTCTACGGTGTTCCAGAGAAGTGAGTGAGTTTGTGAGCGAGGCATCACCCACGAGACGTATTGCCCTTTTTTGGACAAAATCCAACAGTTTCAGGGTATGTTTGAATGCTGCACTCCAAATATGGGAACAGTATTCAAGGACAGGTCGGATATGTGCCTTATCAATCATAAGCAGCTGACTGGAAGTGAAATAGCTCCTGGCCCGAAACAGAAAACCAAGTTTTTGGGATGCACTTTTAGCAATTGATCTCACATGATTTTTCCAAGAAAAGTTTTTGCTGATAGTAATACCAAGCATCGAAATGAGTGTCTTCAAAGGTATGGTTACTCCTGACAGGCTTATGTTGGGCACAGTGAGATCGGTTTTTCTAGAAAAAATGCATGCTTGTGTTTTGTTTACATTGAAATCTACCATATTATTGGATCCCCATTCGTGAATTGTTGCCAAGTCCATATTTATGTTGTCAACATTTCTCCCTCGTTCGTTTCTGACTTGCCTGGCTGGTATTGGGGCCCTGGAAGAGAAAACGGTATGGAGGGTACTATCATCCGCGAAGCTGTGTACTGGACATGAAGTTGCTTCCAACAAATCGTTGATATGGAGTAAAAATTATGTTGGTGCTAGAATTGATCCTTGGGGAACACCAGCATTTATGATAAGAGAGTTAGATGAAACTCCTTCGAACACTACATGGGGAGACCTGTTGGAGAGAAAACTAGCTAGCAGAGATCAGAGCTGCGGAGGCAAGCCATAAGATGGAAGCTTGGCGAGGAGTCCGTGGATCGAATGCCTTGGAGATATTAAGTGCCACGGGTAAGGATTCACCATATTTTTCAATAGATTGCAGCCATATATGTGAGACGTAATCGTAGACGTAAGGAGAAGAAGAAGACAACGAAGTTTATGGGTGCATCCGTACATTGCACGAAATTTTCACACTCGACTTTTTGTTACTGCAAGTGAAATGCAAGAGAGTGACACAAAATTTCTGGCATTTTATAGAATGTCGAAGGAATCATATATTGATTTAGTGGAAACTCTTGCTCCAGCCATAAATTATATGGATTCAAATATGAGGGAATGTGTCAGCGCAGAAGAACACATACTAATAACATTGATGTAAGATTCATATATTTCAAAAAATCAAACAGTTCCTAAAGTTGAGAGTATAAATTGAAAACATAAGATTATATGTTCTAGTTACTGAAAGTAAAGAACTAAGGTAGGTAACACAAATATTCACAATGATTGAAAAATTATTGAACAACTTTCTCCATTGAGACGCAAGATTCGCTCGATCAAACTGCTTCCTTGCTAATCGCGTGAGACTGAAAACGAGGAGATCTTAAATCGTACGTTTCTAGACGATCACTAATCGACCCGTGTGCGGGATCCAGATGCTTTGCTTAGGAAGTCGAGTAGAGGGGAGACCGTCGTACGATTCGAATCGCGTCGCCCATGTCGCCGATCGACCCGTGTGCGGAGGGCCTAAGACTTTTGTTTTGCTCAAAACTATTCTTTCATCAAGTTATTCTCACCTTTGGGTTGTCCCTGCTGGCTGATCGTCATGCCCCCAGGGTGCATCACGTGGCCCCCGTGGGAGCCGGCCGCCCGCAGCGCGTAGTGCTCCGGCATCTTGGGCTCGAGATGGAACGCGGGCGGCCTTTGTGTCTCGTACACCGCCCGGCCGGACTGCATGCCGGGCTCGCGGGGCAGCGGGTAGTAGATGGGCAGCTCCTGTGGCGCCACAGGATAAAAGGCGCTCGGCTGCGTGCTGTACTGGGGCGTTTCTGAAATCAAGGCGGTTTTGGGGGTGTTCGTCGGGAGGTGATTTGAGGCGGAGGATAATAATGTGCGCCGGGTGACAATAAGAAGAAGTGGGCCAGTCCTGTAACTTTTGAGTGGTTCAAGATGGAATGTTTGAGATCTATAATTGTTCACTTTCGTTATGTTACAAAATGATAATCATAACTAGAGTCCCTGTATATACCTTAGGTATATATAGGGCCTCTAGTCATAACTTGTCAGTCTTTTTGTGTGTATGTTTTCGTTTACCAGTATTACTTGTGTCGAGTTTTGATCTCCAGTTATTCATTAGCCTGTTTACAATTTATAGTTGTTTTGTTATTTCGTTATTTTTCATGATATAATCAATAATAACGATGCCAAGTTGTCTTCTTCTATTTTTATTATTCGTTTTACATTAGTTTTTCATTCGTTAGCCATTCGCTAGCTATATATGCTTCATTATCAGCTATATTTAGATTAGATTAGATTCAGATTCAGAATGTTCTTCTGTGTAGACATAAAACTGAGGAGTACCGAACTTATTTTATGAAAATTAATATGAAACTTTCCCATTCAGTATTATCAGTGAGATTACTTGTGCTAAAATTCGGAACAAATTCTACTGCAGTGAGCTGTCACTATTCAGTTATTCACAGATTATTTGTTTTATAATGAAAGATAATGGAAAGTGGACCATCCAATAATAATTCAGGAGGGATTCCGATGTTTCCATGAAATCAATGTCTAATGGAGCCGAGATTTAATGATCCGAATGGACATATGAAGGTCTTGATTCGAATAATTTTTTTTTATTATGATTTTATGCCCTAAAAATATGTTTACTTCATTATTGACACATTGCTGACCACCTCTTGGTGGTCAGTAATTTGAGAGTCGTAAATATTCAGAATAAGATACTTTGCTGTTTATTTTCAGTACTGTACTACATAATTTTATCAAACGAGAAAGTCAAAGATGTGGTATCATCGAGTTGTTGAAAAGTTGCCTGAATGGAAAATTCAAAAACTATATTTTCAACCAATCAAAAATTACGGGGGTGGCCCAGTTTTTGTGGTCACACGGTATGAAATTAGTGAAGATATTATGAATTCGCAAGCAGAAAGATACAGTTAGTGACAAAAGAACTCATACCATACTACAGTGACCTCATGAAGTTTTGCACAAATTCATTTAAAATTCAAGTGGAGGATTTTTCAGAAACAAGAGTCACATCAACTAATTTTTCAAGTTATTAATTTTTGTCATTTGTTTCAGATAAACATACAAGGTGAACCAAGAGGTAGGCCGTTTTAAACGAAGAAAATATTAGCAATGAAGAATATTCAGAGATGTCATCAACCTGATATTCAAATAATGTGAGCAAGACCTCGTTAGAGAGATTCAAAACATAGAAGGAGAGTTAAATTTGTATGAGTTCCATTTGTCAGTTTTGGAGGATGAGACATGGCAAAAAGCAATAAGTGGTGTAGGAAAACACTCACTGTTCCATAGTACTGCTCGTACTAACTCATTACGTCTACCATCATCTTCTGCAAACAAAGAAATTATTTTTATCGGGGGTCGCATTATGAGAAAAAAAACTAAAGTAGCTATAATACCATATAATACCCACCATAGTTCTTCTTACATTACTATATTATGTGACATTGATATGTGATGAATAATAATGAAACTGTTATTATAGCTCATCATAACTCGGCCACTTGATTCTACAGAAAAAGTTTGGGGACAAAAATTGTAGTAAATTTGGTACTCTACAAGTTTGGTCCTTACAATTTTTCTGATAGGATCGATATTTTGTAAATTAAACCTGAAAAAAGCGACAAATTCGAAATATTTTCATTATCTCGTTTATTTTCAACTTTACGGCATAAATGAACAGAAACAAACTTGTAGATAATCAAATTTTGGACAAATTTTGTCTCCACCTGTTTTTCCGAAAATCGATATTTTCGGAATTAAACCTAAAAAAAAAAGACTCATTCGAAATATCATCATTATCTAGTTTATTCTCAACTTCACACCATAAATGAGAAGAAACAAACTTGTAGAGAATCAAATTTTGGACAAATTTGGTCTTCACCTGTTTTTCCGAAAATCGATATTTTCGGAATTTGATGCACGAAAAATTGCGGAGGAATGTGTGGGTGTCGTAAGGCAGGACTGAAATGTTCTGTCTTATGCCACAACTGCGCTGGGCAGACTTGCGATAACGTCACACAATTGCGAGCCGTCGATGACAAAGACAGTGATGATGACAACGACATCGACGATCCCGCACTGAACCTTAACGAACGTGAAACTGGACATTACCAATTGACAGGAACATCAGCTAAGAAACCCAAAAAAAAATAGTTCCGGAACCATATTTTCACACCGACATGACAAACAAGCTACCTGCGCGAAATAACCTCTTCATTTATGCCGTAAAATGCGAAGCATTGGAGATAATGATAATCTTTCGAATTTGTCGCTTTTATCAGGTTTAATTCCCAAAATATCGATTTTTGGAACAAAAACGTAATAACCAAAATTGTTTAGAATTTGATTCTCCACAAGTTTAGTCCTATTCATTTATGCCGTAAAGTTGAAAATAAACGAGATAATGAAAATATTTCGAATTTGTCGCTTTTTTCAGGTTTAATTTACAAAATATCGATCCTATCAGAAAAATTGTGAAGACCAAACTTGTAGAGAACCAAATTTACTACAATTTTTGTTCCTAATTTTTTTCTGTAGAATCAAAAATGGCCGAGTTATTCCAGAAAAACCGTTTTTTAACAAAAAAAAACATACGCAAAAGCTTGATTTGGTCGCCATTTTGAATTTACACTCCCAGTGACCCCCCAGAGACACCTATGAAAAAAAAAACACTAAAAAATTATCCACGGGTCAAAGTCTATAATGACTGGACTAAAATGCAAAATTCGCTTGTCAAACAAAATGTCACTTCTAGGCCTTTTCATTTAGATGACAAATGCCTATCTCTGTTTACATCTTTCATCCAACGACAGTGGCGGCCATTTTCTCCGAAACACTTGCACCCATATATCTACTACTCTACATATAAAGCATAGCTGTCCTCAAAGCGGGACCAACTTCTGTCTCTTTAGTTACCTATAGACCATTGACCAATAGGCGTTGATGCCGACGTAGGAAAAAAATAATACGAAACTTGTTAAACCAATATGGCTACGAATTTCAATTTTTTTGATTGAAATTCGAATATTTGCATTTTTAGTTCTAAATTTCTTTAGTGTTTGTGTTTATTTTTCATGGACTGAACTTTTTTAACCATTTCTAGTGGAATTTCCGGAGAAATAAAGAATAGACAGGAATCCTCTTTTAATAAGTAAGTTTGAATTTTCAAATTTTCTTGTTTATATAGTGACATGCACAAAGGTACTATACTGTGGAATTATCAACAATTGATGACTATTAGACTATTAATATTTTATCACGACCAAATAATTATTTACGAACCTTATACCTAACTTAAAATCTGATCCTCACGTCAGCAGTTCCCATCGAGGTTCCCATCCTGCACTTTTCCTCCTTATAGATTCAGAAAGTTCCCCTCATTTTGGTCCCATTTTTGTTGAGATATCGTATAGGCGATGCGTCATATATAGAAATAGTAGATATATGCTTGCACCACACTCAGTCACGGATAAGTTACGGTTTTACGTCAATAAAAACCGCCATATTTGAAATGACCAATCAGAATTTTGTGTCGGAGCTATAGCCAATGAGACTTCACCTTCGCATTATCCAATCAAATTTTGGATCTAAAAACGAGCGCATGCGTCTCAAAAATATATCTAAATGAAAAGGCCTATTAAACAAGCTACTATTTATTTTTGTAGGAAAAATGAGAAGGGACACTTTGATAAACCTGATCAACTCACTCTGCGGAGAACCCTGGTACCCAGCAGGCGCCGGCTTGTACCCGTACCCGTGGTACATAGAGACGGGCACCTGCGGCGGCGGGCTGGGGCTCCTCGGCCGCTTGGCCGGCTTGAAGGCCTGCTGGGGCGGGCCCTGCCCCATGGGGGCGCATCGGGCGGCCTGCGGGGGCGGCTGCTGCTGCGGTTGCTGCTGCTGCTGCTGGGGCTGCTGCTGCTGAGGCTGCTGCTGGATGTAGAGCTGCTGGTGGATCATAGTGGAGGGCGGCAGGGATTGCAGGGCAATCATGTTTTCGCTGTCGAAAATCATTAGAATTACTCGGAATTATACAGGGTGTTCCTTGAAGACATGCTAATATTTGAGGGGGGATTCTCTGACGAGAGAAGAAGAAAACTTCATATGAACGTATGTCCTAAAAGTCTTAACTTTTGAGATACATGGTGATGAAGTTTTGAAACTTTTCAGTTTTTGATGATAACTAAGGCAATATTATACAGAGTGGGCCTTTGAAAACGAAACAGAGGCTCTGTAGGTCGCCAAAACCGGATTATGAAAAGAATCTGAAACACGTCAACTACGTTTTCGAGGGGGACATCGTCCTACAATATTTTCAGCCCTGCGGCGTTGCCGCTGCTAACGAAAAGAAGCAACAACTTTGTTATTTCAAATGGAACACCTCGTATTTCATTGCATTTTCAGATTCTCCCCGAAGAGCTGATTTCATCAATGCATCACACTTGGGGTCTAGCTGTAATGGTTTCAGGGATATAAAGTGTTCAAAATCGAGATTTTTCAACTTTAACATTTTTTTGTGTCGAAACTATTCATTATTGGTCGAAACGGCTCTCATGTCCCTATCTCAACTTGTGATTTACTATCTACTGACATTTAATTGGAACAGATACAGGGTGATCAGAATTCTGAATCTTGAACCACCCTGTATTTGTTTCAAATAAATGTCAGTAGATAGTAAATCACAAGTTGAGATCGGGAGATGAGAGCCGTTTTGACCAATAATGAATAGTTGCGACACAAAAAAATGTTAAAGTTGAAAAATCTCGATTTTGAACACTTTATATCCCTGAAACCATTACAGCTAGACCCTAAGTGTGATGCATTGATGAAATCAGCTCTTCGGGGAGAATCTAAAAATGCAATAAAATACAAGGTGTTCCATTTGAAATAACAAAATTGTTGCTTCTTTTCTTTAGAAGCGGCAACGCCGCAGGGCCGAAAATATTTTAGAAAGATGTCCCACTCGAAAATGTAGTTGACCTGTTTCAGTTTTTTTTTGATAATCCGGTTTTGGCGACCTACAGAGCCTCTGTTTCGTTTTCAAAGGCCCACTCTGTATACATCTTTTTGAAATTTGATACACGTCTTTTATGCATCAAGGTGCATTTTCTGATGTACAAACATTTTCATTTTCTCTACCAGTGGCACCGTTACGGGAAAATTATTGTTTATATTTTACTTCAAAAATTTTCAAATTTCATACAATGCTATAAAAGGCTATTTAATTATGAACAAAAAAGATCTTCTTGTTGATACTCGAGAGAACGCTTCGTTTTCGATAAAAAACGGAAAAACGAGACCAGACTTCAAATTTTGAGTACTCCATTTAGGACATCTATTACTGGATAACCACCGTATGTTACATTTTGAAATTTGTATACCGAGTGAGTTACATAGCAGACTGAATTTTGCCATCACGAAAAGCTATACAGGGTGGACAAAGAATAATCTATGCATATTTTCAACATTGACACCCTGTATCTCGAAAGTTAGGACGTTTACGACATACAGTGTGACCCACTTCTAATGGAAACACCCCTGTATCTTACGTAATCGTTGGGGTCATCTTCAGTGATATACACTGCTCGCCAACATCCATGGAAGCACCCCAATTTCCGGAAAATGATATTAGGAGTGAAAATATGTCGAATATCACTTCAGATTCGGAATCAGGACGCCCAATTCACTAACCATTCATATTTCTCCTGGAAAATTTTCAGTTCTGAAAAATTGAATTTTGTCGCACTTTTTACCGAAGCACCCCTGTATCTTTCGTAATTGACTTCATCTTTGGACTTTCCCTTCCTCCTGCAAATTTCAGAACCCTACCTCAATAATTACGTGAGATACGGGGGTGCTTCCATGAGAAGTGAGACGAAATTTAATTTTTCTGAACTGAAAATTTTCTAGGAAAACTATGAATAGTGAATTAGGCGTCGGGATTCCGATTCTGGAGTGATTTTCAACTTATTTTGTGTCCTAATATCATTTTCCGGAAATTGGGGTGGTTCCATGGCTGTTGGCGAGCAGTGTATATCACCGAGGATAACCCCACTTGGTCATAGAGTGCATTTTTGGTATATCTCTCGCTCCAACAAATTTTAGCATCCTAACCCAACGGTTACGTAAGATACAGGGGTGTTTCCATTAGAAGTGGGTCACACTGTATGTTCATAATATGAAGTTTTATTCATGAAATGAGTCGAAGAATCGGCCCCTTGAATATTAGCATTTCATTTAGGAACACCCTGTATATAATATATTATTTTGACTATTCCACTATTGGTCTCTAGATTCAATCAATATCGGCCATTTTCACGGTTTCTTCTGTATTACAGCGATATTTTTTTGCGAAGGGAAAATCTCCAGGAAAAATGTGTACACCAGACTTCCAATTACCAAAGATTTCCAAAGACTTCCAAATACTTCCAAAGACTCCCACAGACTTCCAAAGACTCCCAAAGACTTCTAAAGACTTCTAAAGACTTCCAAAGACATCCAAAGACTTCCAAAGACATCCAAAGACATCCAAAGACTTCCAAAACATCCAAAGACTTCCAAAGAATTCCAAAGACTTCCAATGGAGTGTACACCAGACTTCCAAGGAGATTTACCCCTCGTTTTTATGTTTACTGAATTTTATCGGACTTGCTCTACCAACACAGAAGCCGAATTGACCACACGTAACCAACTATCAACCTTTTTGTTTTTCAGCGATAAATCAACTCCTACACGGAAAGTGACAATAAAGGATGCACCTTTTTTATCGCTCATGTTATGAACTGCCTGCTCCTTTGATCTATTAGCTATTTGCGCCTGATGTCACTCCAATTTCTGTCGTGTCTAGTTTGATTGATGGGTATGATTCACGCGTAAATTAGCAAGAAGAGCCGTTTTAGGAAAATTTCGTCTAAGGAAACCACGAAAATATGAGAAAATCAATTCCGCAAACTACCAGTTACAGGGAATCATCAATGAAGGAAATCATTATTGTTGTTTATTTGTATATTGTCGTTGGTTTATCATGTCAAAAAACACTCGAACTTTTTTTTGATTGGATTTTCTTTACTAACTCTAACATTTTCCATCAGTTATTTCTCTCGAAAAACTGACATTAGACAAAAAATTTTCCATGTCAGTGTTTCTCGTAAAATTACTGATCGGAAAATGTATTTCGATACCAAGAGAAATTTATCCGTTAAAAAAAAAACTCTTGTTTTTTCTGTCGATAAATTTTGAACGTTCGAAACGTCAATTATGTTGGAAGCCAGAATAATGGATGCAGTGTGCGCAACTCTCGCAAGCCACTCGTTTATTGTTTCAATCATGGAATACGACGTACTCATAGGCATACAACTGGTGATACTATTTTTCCTGGAAATATTCGTCGATTGACATACTCCAGCGTGCTGCTTCAATTCCGCTCATGACATTGTTCCAAAACTTCTCGACTACGGCACGAAAGTTTTGATAAACAATAAACAATGTCATTCGGCGAAATTATTAGGCAACAAAGCTGTTGTAACAATCATGGAATATTTCCAGCAAAATAGTATCGCTTGTTGTATTTCATATTATGATAAATGTTTGATGATTCCTTCTTTGATTTAATTTTTGAAAGAACAGACACTCATCTCCAAATTCAACTAGTCAAATTCACAAGTAGCCTGATCAAATGGTGTTCAATAGTGCTTGTCTCGTGACTTGAATCCAGTAGAAGGTTCCTTAACAGAATCATAATATGTTTCTAGGCATCCAGAAGAGAATCTGAAGTTTGCTGCCTTGTAAAAAATGTTAACATGATCTTCCTCTCCATTTTCAATGTAACCAGCTTAAAATTTCCATTATTTTATGTTTAATACTAGAGACAAGGGGAAGACATTTTTTTTCTATTAGAATTGAAAAATGTATCATCTCATGAATGCTATCTCATTAATACAATGTCCCATAAAAATTCTGCATATTATAACTTTATATTGATATTTGTAGCACCAAAATCGCCTCCAAAAATATAGATGTGACCAATACATTCACTAGAAAAATTTTAATTTTTTGAACATTGATTGTTTGGCTGGAGTGAAAACCCTACAATGTTGTTTCTTATAGTTGTTACAAGAAGTTGACATAACCTTTTTATCACCATGACATAGAGATGTAATTTCGGATGTTGAGGCTGATGATGGACATATATATGTCCAAAACATGTTCCAATTTCAATTGATGTATTAATCACATACTTATGTCATAAAGATGACTTTGTGTATCATTCAGTATTTATTACCTAAGTACTTGACTCTCAGCTCAGAGAAACCATGGAATTCTTCCAAAAATTGCCCCAGAAAACCAAAGTGAATAAATATACATAGGTACCTGTTTTCTTTCTGTCTTCTCCTGTTATCATCTTCGTTGAGGACCTTTTTGAGCTGTAAGAACAACTGGTGTTTTTCTTCCTTGAGCTGTGTGAGCTTTGCTTCCAGCTGTGAAATCTGTTCTCTTGTCTCTCCTAGAGTCATCACATCTTGCTGCTCTCTGGCTTCTCGTTCTTTCCTAAGACGTTCCTCTTCGACCTCTTGTTCCCTCTCTTGCCTTTTCCTAGCCCTTTCGCGTATGATGTGGGCCTTCAAGCCCTTCCACATTTGCTCTGAATGGTCAGTGGATTTTTCTTGCACAGCTGCAGGCATTTTCAATACACTTTTTTACACTTTAATCAGGTAGAAATGAAACTCCTTCAATGATATTATTAATTTTTATTGAATATTACAATTTTTATGCAAGTATTGAAAGTTTATATTTGGATTGTTGGATCTTTGTTTATTTACATTTATATGCCATTTTGATTTTTGACATATGAATATGAATCTATGAATGTGAATGACGCATCGGTCATCGGTGTCGCCACTTGCATGAACTACGAGAACCCCTCAGATCATTCATGTAAACTGTCGGTTACAGGAAGCTGTGATCATATTGTTATATTTCGTAAATTATTGTTTACAGACTTCTGTAACCGAAAAATAATTCAATGCCGGTTACAGAAAACTGTAGTTACATATCTCGTACTATTATTTACAGATTTCTGTCTGTCACCGGATGAAATTTAATGCTGTTTACAGAAATCTGTAATTATATATCTCGTATAAAATCATTTACAGATTTCTGTAACGAACAGGTACTAGATCAAGATATTTCATATTGAAGGTATCACAAAGAAAGAAAACGGGTCAAAAAATGCAACTTTTTTTCTATTGAAGCTAGAGATTAATACTTCTTCTCCGCACTAGGACATCCCCAAAACCCTCTTTCCCAAATTTGAAGGCCCTACGACAAACTTGATTTTTGGGTAAAAAAAAACAATTTGAACTAGAGGTGTCAGATTGGGCTTAGAACTTATGATGAAATGGATTTGCTGAACAAGATTCTGAAGCTGGTTCCTTCCAATAGTTTTTAGTTCCCCATATAATCGCAATTTGGAAATTTGAAAAAATTATCTGAAAGATCGCTGAAATGATGGCAGAAATTCTTTTCTCCTAGGCGATATACGTGAATCAACTTAGTACCGCCAGACAAACATGAACGAAAAATCACTGAAATGATGGTCAAGAAGTTGGTCTCAAAGATTTAGTACTCTGATGACATCGATCTCCAATCACTTGAGGTACTAGATCTAGGTACCGCAAGGTTTTTCTAACATTTCGAAGCGTCAGATTGGTCGTTTCTATGAAAATACATACTTTTTGGAAATGTGAAAAATACACACATGCATACATATCCCGAATAGGAAGTAGGTGTCTAGGTACAGGAATAAATATAAGTCAGAAATGATTAGGTATAAACAAATATATTACTTACAGTAACAAATAAATAAATAAAATAATACACAATCTTAATCACTACGCCTAGTTGTACAAATCGATACAATGGAGTTGGAAATATGGGCCACAGAATTGAGAAATCAAGTTTCAATCGGATCTTTACAATTTTTTTTCAAATTCTTCAATATCGACTTCAAATCGACATTGACAAAATAACTACAAAATAGTTTCATTGTACTACGACAGGTTTAAGAAAAAATTAAAATCAGAACCGAATTCACTACTCATGGAGTTCTAGACTAAACCATGCGGTTAAACAAAACAAGAAGTTTTGAAAATATTGAAAACATACTCGAATAGTGTTTTATACAAAATCACAATTCCTAAATTTCGAAAGTCAGCAATGAAGTAGTGTCAAAAGTTTGAATCCGACTCTGTCGACAGTCTGAACCGAATCCTCCAATTCGGAAATCGTAAAATATTGTTCGTCCCACTTCTGAAGTCGGCTACATAACCTCACTTGCACGTGTGCACATCCATCGACTTGATGCACGTCTTGCACTCCACCTGGCAGCACCACTTGAACTTGCATTGACAGCGTTCTCGCACTGTGCTCTTCAGCGTATTGTAGCCGCGTCCGCAGCACAACAGGTTGCAGCCTGGAACGAAAAAATCAAGAATTTGATGATGCAGCCAATGAACTCAATATAAACGTTGTTTTACATTGAGTTCAATGGATGCAGCAAGTGCAGCAGCCGTGAGACATACGCAGCACCTTGTATGATCTAAGCGCAGCACCATCCATCGGATTTTAGAGTTACTGGCACGAGACGGTGCCATGAGAGTCTGATGCCAGTGCCTGAAAACCATAGACTCTGATGGCTGTCGCTGCTACACTTGATTGTGCTGAATTGTGATCGTGATATATTATGAGAATAAGTGAGTGGCCAAACCATCGAAAATCACATTACATGTAAAAAACATCAGTGATTCACATACCGGGGGTAAGAGGATCATGGTACACCAAACCATTTTGGTGCTAAATCAAGAAATTTAACTTTTTTGACAGGAATCAATTTTTGTTAGCATCACACTTGTCGATATGCGTACACCATACTTGAACAGAATAGTTATGGCACACTCAGATAATCGAAAATAAAATTAAAATGAATATTGAAGTTTGAAATGTAACTCATGCGTCATTGGATTCACACAATCAGAAAATGATGTAGAATTCGAAAATGCAATGAGGTGCGTGTTTCATTTGAAAATCTGAAGTTATAACCACTTCCTATGAAACTGGAAGTAGAGAATGAAATATTTTTAGCAGCATAGAACAGATAAATCACCCATTGAAATCTCCTACTCAATAGTGCATCAAGTGCAGCAGCCATCGAATTTTTGTGTTACTGGCACTAGACGGCGCCATGAGAGTCTGATGTCAGTAATGTAAAACATGGCTGTCGCTGCGGACCGACGTCTACCCGCTGATAGACTGTTACACTTGATTGTATTGACTCCTGAATGCAGAAATGAAAGACAACACACATATACACACATACCATTGCCGTTACTCTTGTTTTTCTCATAGAACATTAGGAAAATAAAAGTAACCAAACCGATTCACAGAAAACCACATTGTACGTGAGTACCACCAGTGAGTCACGTCATAGGATGACCCCATCAGAGATAAGTTAGTGTGTAACTTATCTCTGACCCATGGGATGACCCCGTGACCCACCGGTGGGTCACGACGAAGTGTAATCCACTGAAGGGTCGAAGAGGCGAAATAGTACTTCTCACCGTCGATGTCCGGCGACGTCCTGTTGCACGACCTGCCCTGCGTGCCCAGCGACCCGATCCGGTCGTCCTTGACGCAGTAGTCGGGCGAGTCCTCGAGGTACACCAGGTCGTAGGCGGTGGGAAGGGTGAGACGGGAATCGCGCAACTGAAGCCGCCCTCGCCTGTTCACCCGTACCTCCGTCGCTCCGTCGTATTTGTCTCTCAGATAGTCGCCTGCGAAAGAGGAATAGGCGGTTATTTAGGCTGTAAAGCTGTCAAGTCATTCGTTCGACCACAGTGGTGATGCCAGGATGGCCAATGGTTGACCCGACTCCCATCAAAAGTTAACGTGATAGCTTCTTGTGGTCAGGTTTGAAACGTGACCGGTATTCCCAAACAGCTGGTTGGTCAAACCTAGAGTCACTGGATGTTATTAGTTTGATAAGAGTTCGGACACAGCTGAACTTTTGTCCTTTTCTATTTTCTATAATACAATGGTTCAAGTGAATAAAAGAATAAGACATATATTCTGCTCTTTGTCTTTTCAATTTCCCTAGTAGCGCCTGATTGTCAGATACGATTTTAGAGGTTATATTTTCTGTCAAATCAATCATAGCCGTAGATGTACAAACACCCATTTCAATTCATAGTGCAGCAGAGAGCATCAACTATTATATAAATATGGAAAAAATGCATGTAACAACATTTTAATATCAGAGAATATATACATATGGATAAAGTGTCTTGGCATGGTTCATATAGGCTTGGAAAAAATCTATTTGAGGTCATATTCATTTTTGGGGAAACTATTTATATTTTTTCAATTGTTTTTCTTCGAAGAGGTTTTCATGGATATTTGAAAGTATTAATTTCATTGAAACACCTACCTGCGACAAATAGTTTTCCTGTTCCACAGAGGTTTTTGTCTTCTCTCAAGAAATATTATTTTTGCGGAATTTTAGATAACTTTTCGACACACCAATTAATTTTTTTTGCCGAACAAATTCTATAGCTGAGAACTATATGTTACTAACTGTTACCTACAATTCTATATTATTCCTATCACCAATGTTGCAAACACGAAATTCTAGCGCGAAATTAAAAACAAATTACAAATATATTTCATTTCTATTAGTGGCATTTCAGGAGCAGTAATATTATGAGGCATATAAAAAATTGTTTCCCCTGCTTCAGCGTTTTTTATTTCGACTGTTCTATGTTTGGTGGTTTGGTGAACTTCGGCAAAGCAAAAAAATAAATGTGGTCGTGTACTAGATAAAAAGCTTGATATTGACAGGGATATTGGTAAGCATATCTGTTAAAAATCAGAATGCGATTATCGGATCGTCAACTATAGTCGTTTTAGTCAATAAAACTGTATGAAATCCCTACCGATTTTCAAGAACAATGCACCAAAATGCACAATGTTTTTATTTTTATTTCTTTATTGTATGTGAAACTGTACTCCAGTGAAGTATTCCTGAGACAATTTTGAGAAATAAAGTCTATATAAGCTTGTGTCCGGAAATGCTTCATTTCGTAGATACAGGGTGTTGAAATACGACAGAGAACAAATCATTTTTCGATAAACATTTCATAGGAAAAAAGTAGTTTATTTTGACGAGACCTACCAAATACTTGGTTTTGTACAGTTCTCAGCAACTTCACTTAGCGCCCTAGGAGCTGAGTAACATGGATCAATATAGAAAATATCTCCAAAACGATAACCTCCAGCGTAATTGAGGCCCTTATAATAATTCCCTTGATACATAAATATCTATTCACTTTTCACTGTTGAATTTTGAATTCGGTCAGCACCAAAAACGCCATTCAATAATATATCACGTTGTAGTTTACTTGCTTTTCTTAGTTTCGTTTTCAAATTTTCAATTTCATAATGTAATTTTGCGATCATTTCCCCTTTTTCCATGATTATATTTTGGGTAAAACTGCATTTATCATGCGATGGGTTTTTTTTCGAAAATTTTTTTTGGTACTTACGTATTTTTGTCTGAAAAACACGAATTCGATAATGAAAATGTGAACAAACCACTATTTATCGAGATATTTCAAAAAAAAGTTCGAAATTTCGACTCCTTTTTCCCCTTGCGTTGGATGCATTTTCAGGTACTTGCTCTTCTTATTTTGTCATTGGACACTTTATATACTCATGATGTACTTCAATGACACATTTTTATACAGAAAATTCAACAGGAAATATGATTTTTATGGTGAGTTTTTCCTATTTAGTGAGCAAGCATACCAGATGACGGCCATTTCATCCATTGGCAATCCAAATACGAGATGTCAAATGTCAATAGATTGCTTTGGAATGACATTACACACGCCATTATTTCAAATGATATTCTTCCTTCTTTTCAATAAATATGGATAAATCACAAGAAAATCATATTTCTAGTTGACTCAATAATAGAAAAAATGTGTCTTACATTGTGATATATATAAATTGTCCAATGATGAAAAAAGAAGGGTGAATTTTTTAAAATTCAATCCAGAAGACAGGCGGAAAAGAAGGTGAAATTTGAAACTTTATAGTGAAATATCTTGATAAATAATGATTTGTTCACATTTTCATTATCAAATTCGTGTTTTTCAGACAAAAATACGTAAGTACCAAAAAAAAATTTCGAAAAAAAACCCATCGCATGCTAAATGCAGTTTTACCATATTTTGTTTTGTATTTTGCGTAATGGAATTTTGTTCTTGAAATCGTCTGATTTGTGAATTGATGGAACAGCAGATTCTCTCAAAAACAGATTTTGAAATCTTCTGTTTGAAAATGGGCCTAAAATATATATTCATTCTAATCAGATGCTATTATAAGAAGTGAATTCCAATGAGTACCTCACAAATTTCGCTCATCTTCAAATTGATTTTCCACCAAGGCCGTTTCACATTTTCCTTCCATAAGCGAATGCTTGATATTTGATTTGGAAAATCGAATGAATGATATCGATTTGTTTCAAAATTGGCACAATTTATTACACAGCAAGTGATTTACAAAGCTGCTTTCATCTTGAAAGTATAATGATTATGAAATTTTATTTCAATTCTGACGTTTATAAAATAAATTGTCAAATTCAAAAAATTTTGAATGGAAAAGCGCAGGACGACTATGGTGCTCTTGTCACAATGCAAGGTGTGTAACTTTATAAATCTAAACATTCAAAAACCCTAACCGTTGTCATTTCTGTGTCCGAACTCTTATCAAAGTAATACCAAAGAATATAGGTTGGTAATACCATCCAGTGACTCTAGTCAAACCGATGGTCAGATTTATACTGAACGTAGGGTCCCTTGATGGAAATTGTCATTAAGATGACTTTAACGTCAATTTCCATCAAGGGACCCTAACTGAACGTATGTGAGCGGTGAAATCACAGACTTGACACAGCCTTAGTAATTTCGAGTGATTTCCATAATCAATATTGCAGCCAACAAGTTTTTCCGTTACTGGCATCAGTATCACGATCGAGGCACTGTCTCATGACGAGTGCAAGTAATGAAAAAAGTCTGATGACTGACTGATAGACTGCACTAGACTATATACATTGTTGTATTCGTTGTGAAAGTTTAACACAGTGTCCAATGACAGATTTCAGCTATGTATCGCTAATTCAGAGTTGATAATAAACTCCTCAGGAGTTGCGGAACTTCTGCGAGGAAGAGTAAGTGCCTTAGCGTAAAGATTTGATGTTTTTTTTTGCTGAGAAAGAAATATTCATTAGAGTATATATCTGGGCTTGAAAGTTTCACACAATATACAGAATAAGACAAGAAGACATTTGTTGCAGTCGTTCTGAGATATGCGTGCATATTTTTTTGTTATTTTTTCAATTTTTTGTGCTCACCTATAGCTATACTATTATATACATACACTCATTCTCATTCTCCTATAGTTTCTATTTGCATATTTGTATTTTTTGTCGTTGATTTATGTATAGGTATTAAAAATTTCAACCCAATCGGTCGAGCTGTTTAGTAGTTTAGGGAACCGACAGCAGCGCCACCTACTGCGTCCAATTGTATTTTTAAATCATCCAGGAAACCATCGAAATACCCATATAAAATTTCAACCCAATCGGTTCAGCCGTTTAGAAGTTATGTGAAAAAGATAAGTACTGAAGGATAATTCTTACTACCCATTGTCTTATCACTCGTTTTCCCGTAGGAATGAAGCATTTTCTTGCGGCAAAAAGTAGCCTATGTTCATCAGTGATAATGTCGGTATAAAATAATGTTTCAAATCGGTCCAGTAGTTTCGGAGACTAATATTCACTACAAACAAACAAATCTTTCATCTTTATAATATTAGTATAGACCTTGATTATAAGGTAAAGATTATCTCGAAATTGTATTTTGTGATGACATGATCATCGGAAAGAAGATGAATGACAGATGTACTTCGATATAAAAAAATGCGTCGAGGGTCGTAAGAAAAGTAATCGTTTCGGCCACATACGTTATAATTCTTCGATATGCGTTCAATATATCTCATGAGCATTAAAACTCACGTTTTGATTCAATGCCCGCCTCCTCGGATTCATTATTATCGCTTCCTACGCGGCATAGAAGCGGTATGATTGTTCTCTACTGATGCGTCGATTTGTACCTGTTGAATGCTGTCTCCGATTCTGTACTTTGTTATTATGTCGTCTCTTCTATTATCAATACGTGTGGTACATTCTAGATAATTGAATATCTACGAGTTGCATTCATGAAGGGAAACATATAACATAGCTGACATGACCTTGACTCCTAATGACCTTGCGATGACATAAAAACTACGGGAAAACAGAGAAAACTAGAGTCACTGGATGGTATTAGTTATTACATAGATACTAAATACAAACTTGAGATTTATGGTGATTAGATAACAGTTTGGACACAGCTGAACTTCTATCCTTTCCTATGTTCCGAATTACAATACAAGTGAATAAAAGAATAAGAAATATATGCTGCTCTTTGTCTCTTCAATTTCCCTAATGGTTGATGATTGGTCCAATATGGCGTCGGTAGCTAAGCAACGTGCTGATGACGGTTGTTGTATAAAGTGCAATAACATAGCAAAAAGTTGCTTAAAGTGTGCAAATTGTGTGTTTTGTCATATGCTGGATGCCTCAAGAAAATTAATAATATTGTGTATATCAGTGATACTTCTGCGGAGTGTTGTAACCAGAAAAACAATGACGACGTTGATATGTCCTTTGGTA